TTCAAAATTACATACTACTGTTCTTACCTTCTTTGTCTCCTGATTTTTTTTCCTCAATCTGCATTGCACCTTCTTTTTCATTTGTCATCTCTTTTGGAACTAAGAATTCCCCTTTATTAGATTCATCTACATATCCGTATCCGAAACCTCCGCTTTCAATTTCTTCCTTCTGTCTTTTGTTCAGCTTTTGTGTTGTCCACCCAATAATAGATGGCAATGCTCTTTGCACTTTTCTGCCTTTGAACACAACTTGTCAACATAGAACACCTACATATTTTATAAGATGTTAGAATTGTGTACTGCATATAATTATTTGATTAATAATATGATAAAATTGATCAATAACATTATAAAATTTGTAACTTACAATGAGAAACAATAAAGGCCCTGGGAACTCTCTTTTTCTGCTTTTGCTCCAATAGTCCTTTGCTTCAATTAATGTTTCCAATGTGTATCCACACCAATTCAGATTCTTTATTTTTGAATCATCCTGCAATGCCTTCAGAATGCTTTGACTTGCAAAGCAATTTTGCTTCCCTTCAATTAAACACGTTACCAGGAGAACCAAAAAATTCTTTTTAAACCATCCTCCACCTTTTTTGTTTTCTCCTAAAACCTTCTTCACTGGAGCAGTCTTCACAACTTCATTTTCACTCTAAAATTGCGATCTCCAATCAGCCACCATGTGTGATGTATTTTCAGCTTCACTATCAATCAAATTCTTCACATTAATGTTTCCTTTTGGAAACCCTAATGTGAAATGCACTGCATCTTCATTTATCCTTAATCTCTAATTGTTCGGTAGAACAGTAGACACACTTCTGCTCTCAAAACTCTCCACCACCCAATATGCCAACTGCATTGGCAATTGCTTCACTTCAAGTTTCAGTAAGGAGCCAAATCCCATATCGACTACCTCTTCCTTCTGTTCTGGACTTAGAGTTTTCATTATTTCTGTTATACTACTCAGAGACATTCTTGTCCACAACTTTGGGTATTTATCAGTCCTTTCCTTCTCTATTACCTCTTCGTTTTCCTCAAATTCTTCTTCTTCTGCTGCTATCTTCTTCTTCATCTTTTGCTTTTTCACTTTTAATGACTCTGCCTGCCTTGTTCTTGCCTTTTTTGCATCACCTTCTTTCTTATTTTTCTGAACTTCATCTTTGTTCTTTTCACTTGTTTCTGATGTTATTGATCTTGTAATTCTTTTTTTTGGGCTAACATCCTCACTGTCTTTCAGTTTGCTTGAATTACCTTGCTCTCCACTTTTCTTAAGTGCGCTTGCATTATTTCTCTTTCTTTTCTTCTCATTATTTCTCTGTGCAGCGCCTTGTTGTGCTTCTTCAACATTCTGATGTTGCTCAGTTTCCCTCCCTTGCTGCTCAATTTTCATCCCTTGTTGCTCAGATGCTTCTCCAACATGTTCAGTCGTCTTACTGCTACCATTCCTTGTTTCTTGCTCATTAATCATCCCCTCATTTTCTTGTTCTTGAAACTTATCATTCCCTTCCAAATCTGCTTCCTCTTGATGCACATCTGGTTCAGTACCTTGAACATTGCTTTGCTCACATTCTTTACTACTTCTTTAGCAATCTTTTCTGCATCCCTTGTTTCTTCGTCACTCATCATTATCTAAGCTTCTATTTCTTTTATTAGGTCAATCATAGCCTTATCCTTTACTGGAATTGCTTTTAGTTTCATTTTCTTCTATGGAACCTTTGAAGTCTTTTTTATTTTCTTCTTTGGCTTTATGCGCAGTACTGGGATCTCAGTAATAGGTCGTGCATCTAAATTCCTGCATTATTTAATAAAATGAGTAATACATGTCAAATCATGATTCACAAATCATTTCAATACTTAAAATGAGTAATAAATTTCAGTACTACAAAATTGTGACACAATGTTTTATAATTTGAGCATGTTGCTTTCACATTATGAGCATACACACAATATCCATGTAACCGAATTACAGAACAAGTATATTGTAAAACAAAAAATGCACAACACTTCATGACACATAGTTCTATTTGTTGATTTAAAACAATGATCAGATAATGAGTATCAGTTCAATTTTAATGGCACACTATGACTAATAAAAAAACATACAAACAATTTTCGTGTCACACTATGAATCATAAGCATAATCTTAAATAAATATAGAAAAGTTAAACCAGATATCACTCTATTCAAAGATGAGTACTGCATACCACAGATTGAGTATTGTATCATTTTACAAGTAACCTAATTACAATATCACCATGTTTTAAGTAGTTAGTAATATATATTACTTAAATTAAAGTGAAATGAGCATTAACCTTCTTACATTAAACAAAACCTTAATTGATTTACTTAATCAACACATATCACGCATCAAATTCATAATCTGCTTCAGATTCGTCAAAATCATTTCAATTTTTCTATAATTTTCGAAACATGCAAGTATATTGATTAATCATTACTAAAATATAAATTTCAAAAGTATAATACGACATACCTCTCAGATGCTTCTGCATTTTCATTCTTATCTGCGTTTAACAACATTTCATACTTGGATACTAAGTCCATCGCTTTCTTCAATGATCAAACACAAACAACTTGGTGTACAAACTCTTCATCTGTTCTTCAACTTGTTGTTGCTCTCCAACTCCACGAAGTTGAGTAATGTTTGGAGGTTGTCCTCATTTTTCGAGCTAAAATACGGCGTTATGAATGCTTGGGTCATTTTGCGAACATATTTCAGAAGGCAGTTCAGTTTTTGAGAGAAGAAGTTACTTTTCCGTGTTTGATATGATTAGTTCACAGTCCTTCTTTTGGTAAAAAATTGGGCCAGGTGTGTTGTGTGTTTTATCTATTAATGGACTTCTATTTTAATTGGACCGGATGTACGTACATCCGGGTGTAGCATATACGGACTGCGTTTGATAGGGGAGCTAGAATTATGTTTTTTAGCCGAAAGTATATAAACATACGAGTTTAAAGAAATATGTATTGGGCTTTTTACAATACACAGTTAGCCCATTGGGTGGTGAACAATAAACATCACCTCTCCTCAAGAAGGGGCCTAAGAAGCTGTTCTCTTCGTCTGATCTAAATGTTTCTGATCTGAATTTTTTAAGATCTGATCTGATCTGAATTTTTCAGATGTGGTCTAATCTGATCTGAATCTTTCTGATTTGATCTGAATTTTTCTGATCTGATCTGAATGCTTCTGATCTGATCTGATCAGATCTGAATCCTTCTGATTTGATCTTAACTTTCTAAATCATTATATAATAATATTAATACTACTAATAATAATTCTAATAATAATATCAATAATAATTATAATTATAATAAATAATAATATCAATAATAATTATAATAAACTAATAATAATAATAACTATTATTATTATAATTATAATTATTAAATAATAATAATAAAAAATAATAATAATAATAGCAATAATAGTAATGATAATAGTAATGATAATAATAATAATAATAATATAATCGATAATAATAATAATAATAATAATATAATCGATAATAATAAAATGTTTCCAATTTGCTATGAATGTTTCTGATCTGATCTGAATCTTTCTGATCTGATCTGATCTGAATCTTTCTGATCTGATCTTATATAATTATTTCTGATTTGATCTGATGTGAATAAAATAAGAATAAGCAATAAGTAATAAGAATAAGACGAACAGAACATCACCTAAGTTGCTTAAGACTAGGCCATGCCCCGTCAATGATCTTTAAATACAGCCATATAATTACTATTCACAACCCCATAATTAAAATTAATTAAATAAATATAAATAGAATGTCTATCACTCTATCCTATCCCTAAGCATACTGATTGAGTTTCATACCAGGCGTCCGCTTGTGCTGGCTAGGCATGGACCGGGCCAGGGTCGAGCTAGGCCCAGGTCAGGATTGGGCGGAACTCGGGTTTTGGGATGAAGGTCGAGTACCGGTCCAGGTTTGAACCGGGAAGGGGCCCGGGCCAGGTCATTTTTTTTAGATTAGCCTTTTTGAATTTATTCCTAGACCCTCCCCCCACCCACAAACCTGCCAAAACACCCAGCCCAACCCAGCTAGCACCCAGCCGTCGGAACGGCCGATCCGGTCCACTAAAATCAGGGCCCGTAGCCCGCCCTATAAACAGCCGGTCCGGGGCCCCCAGTCCTGATCCTGGTACCGGCCGGCCGAGCCCGGGCCTGCACAGTACCGGGTCAGGCTGACCCATCCCAAACAGTCCCTAGTCCCGGCATTACCCATTCCCTCTTCAATCCTGCCACTTCAGTATCTCAATTGGCGGTTGATAAAGTTTCCCATCAAATTAAAGTAGATTTCGATGAATCGTTGTCTGTCTTTATTTAATTCAATACATATACCTTCAAAAGGATGACACCCCATCCGTGAGGGCCCCCAACCAGACGGTACGTTGGGAGCATGTAAATTGGACTATATTTTCAATCTGACAGATAGAGAGTGAGACTATGTCCCGAGTACATGCAGAGGCTCTATTTAGCATAGTCACCTCTCATCGCAATTGCGGGGATTCGAAACCGGGACCTAACCCTTGTGGCACTCCCTCGCTATCAGTTGGGCTACGCCCACCAGTATTCCTTCAAACAGATGAGATCGACACTACTCATCAACCCCATCATCTTCCTCCTTCATACCGCTCTCCTTGTCAGTCCTCCCTATTGCCACATCTCCTGTTATCACTTCTTTTTCTTTGCCTTTGGCCTCCATCTCTTTTTGAAGCACAGTTCTTGTCCCGTGAATGGACTAAATGGCAGCTCACCTTTGGTGCTAATATAAATGTATAATTTTATTCAATATTCTTTTTGTTCTCAGACTTTACGAAGTCACAGCAAAACAAATCGGATTTCAAAACTTTAAACATGCAATCAAAGCAAAGCAAAAGTAAAAGACACACGAAATGTTGACGCAGTTCGGAAGAAAAACTTCCTAATCTGTGGGGTTTCAACAGGGAAACCCGGTCCCAAACAGATCCACTAGCTCAGAAGAGTATTTACAATCAAGATGGTTGCAAAGCAATTAAACAAAAACTAGTAACTACAAACTATTAACAGACAAACGACTCATAATGAATAAAACAAGAGAAAGTTCAGAGTTAACCGAAATCGAATCCAGTAAGGAATTCGAAGGCAGAAGAAGACTCTCGGATGAACATGCAGACAACTCCAATGGACAGGCTTCCTCCTTTCTCACTATCGTCACAAGAAGATGACCTTAATCGCAGCAATTCACAAATCTCACAGACTCACTCAAGTTTCTCTCTCTAGGGTTTTGAAGTATGCAGCGGAACAGTGCAGAAGGGAGGATAAAGGATATATAAATATCCTTACGATGGAGCAGATAAGCCAACAAAAATACCGGACCCAAAAAATAGGCCCACTATAAGAGGCTAAACCGGACAGGCCCAACACAATAACCCAAAGGACCCTTACAAGATATAACCCCAGAAAATTAAGCCAAGTTTAATTGCTTTGCCATCCTATCTTAATTATAATGAAAGAACATATGAGAGAATTGGGATTATATAATATCCCAACAATTTGGCCTCCTAAGACTCATTCTCATTCAGGTATCTCTAAAGGGAGTATCATCATAGCTAGTTTGCAGGATCTGTGAGACATGAATTTCCCCATTCATCATCAACCCAGTTTGGAACCTTTTATCAAGGTACCTCGAAGATTTTGAAGAAACTCCTGCAAAAAAGAAAATTATCAGTAGGGACAATTTTAGTTCCAAAATCGGCAGGATTTACATCTCCTAATATCTTTTCCACATTAATATTGCCCTTGGCAATTTCATCTCTTATGTAATGAAACCTTACATCTATATGTTTGGTTTTCTCATGATACATAGGATCTTTGCAAAGGTAAATAACACTTTGACTATCAGAAAAAACAACAGGGACAAGGCTGTTTCTCAGAACTTCACCCAAAATACCTTTAAGCCATTTGGCTTCTTTAATGGCCTCAGTGGCAGCAACATATTTAGCCTCAGTAGAGGACAATGCCACAATAGATTGCAATTGGGATTTCCAAGAAATACAGTTTCCAGCTCAGGTAAAGAACCAAGAAGTGGTGGACTTTCTGGTGTCTTTACAAACAACATAATCATAATCAACAAATCCTTTAAGGTCTAAAGAAGAGCTAGAACTGTACTTGAGACCTAGGTTTTTAGTTCCAGAAAGATACCTAAGGGTATACTTCATAGCAGTCCAATGTCCTTCCCTGGGGTCAGACATGAATCTGCTAAGAACACTCACAACAAAAGCAAGGGTTGGTATGGTACAAATCATAGCATACATCATAGAGCCATAAGCAACATCATAAGGAATTTTATCCATTTTCTTAGATTCCTCCAAAGAAATAGGATAATGATCCAAATGCCCTCCTAGAGGGATAAGAGTGTGTTTAGAACCATGCATGTTAAACCTATCCAAAATTTTTGACAGATAACTGCTTTGAGATAAGAACATGCACTTTTCAGGTCTATTTCTGTTTATGACAATTTCTAAAATTCTTTTAGCAGATTCTATGTCTTTCATGTCAAAATGTGTTTTTAGATCATTTTTCACACTAACAACTAGCAGTTTGCACCGACCAATTATGAGGATATCATCAACATATAACAGAATGTACACAACATTATCAGTACCAACATGCTTGAAGTATAAACAAGTATCATATTTGCTTTTAAGAAAACCAAGCTCACTCATGCAAGCATCAAATTTCAAGTTCCATTGTCTAGGAGACTGTTTTAAACCACATATTGATTTTCTTAACAAGCAAACATGATCATGAATATTTTCTCTCATATCCACGAGGTTGAGACATGTAAATAGTTTCATTTATATCTCCATGTAAGAACTCAGTCTTAACATCCATTTGTTCTAATTCCCAGTCGAAAATAGCAGTCATAGCAATCAAGAGTCTCAAGATTTTGAATTTGATTGCAGGAGCAAAAATATCTTTGTAATCAATCCCTTTCTTTTGTTTTAAACCCTTAGCAACAAGCCTAGCTTTATACTTAGGGGGGTCACTGGGATCAAGACTATCTTTTATCCTATAAATCCATCTACAATCAATGACCTTAACACCTACAGGTTTAGGGACCAGAGTCCAAGTTTGATTAGCAAACATGGATTGCAATTCTTCTTGCATAGCTTTAGCCCATTCATTCGACTTAGAACTCTTAATAGCTTGCTCAAAAGTTTCAGGAATATTGATTTTAACAATTTCAGAAGCTATAAAGATAAACTCAGCTAGGTTAGAAATGTATTTCCTATTAGGAATACTATTTCTAGGTTCTCTATCTCTAACAAGTTGATAATCAGCTAAGTTTGGTTCTTCCTATTCATTAGAGGCATTTCCATTAAGATCAGTTTCACCAGTATTTACATTTACATCAAGCAAAACAGGCACATCATGCAAATTACTCAAATTATCAAGTGAGGGTAAGGTACTACCTTCCTGATTTGAGTAAGTATTAAACTGTGCAGTACCTTTTGATGAATCGTCATGGTCAGATTCTGACAAAGATTAATCATCATTACCTTCATGAAGTCCTCCAACATCAAGGTCACCTTCAGACAGATTCTTAGTGCCCAGAGAATCAAAGAAGTTACCATCAGAATAATCATTTATGTCACTAGAAGATGCATTAACACTTTTAAAGTGAAATTCAGATTCATTAAATGCAACATCTCTAGAGATTATGCATTTATAAACTCCAGGTTGAATCAGAAGGAGTTTGTAGCCTTTCACACCTTCAGGATAGCCAATCATAACACATTTAATGACCCTAGGTTCTAACTTACCTTGAGAGACATGAGCGTATGCAGTACACCCAAAAGGCCTTAAATGAGTTATGTTTGGCTTCACACCAGACCACATCTCCTGGGGGGTTTTGAAACCCACCACAGGAGATGGTGATCTGTTAATCAAGTAAGTAGCCGTAACAACAGCTTCACCCCACATTGAATTTTTAAGACCAGATTCAATTAACATGCATCTATCCTTTTCAAGAATAGTTCTGTTCATTCTCTTAGCAATACCATTCTGCTGGGGGTACCAGGGACAGTTAATAACCTTGTAACCCCTTCAATTTTACAGAAATTATTGAAAATATGGTTACAAAATTCAAGACCATTCTCAGTTTTCAAAGATTTCAGTTTAAACTTGGATTGAGACTTAACCAGCTTTTCTAGATTTTAAAACTGTCAAAAGTTTCATCTTTGATTTTTAGTAAGTAAATCCACACTTTCCTAGAAAAATGATCAACAAGAGAGAATATTTTCGTCCTCCTAAAGTTCCAAATTTAGAGGGCCCCCATAGGTTAGCATGGACCAATTCAAGGGGTTGAGAAGTAGCATAGGTAGATTTACCAAATAAGTGTCTAGTTTTCTTACCAAAAATACAGTTTTCACAAAAATCAATTTGACTTGGTTTAAAGTCAATCATTCCATTTTTAAACAATTTGTTAAGACCCACATTACCAATTTGACCTAACCTTTTGTGCCAGATCTGAGTTCGTTTTTGAATAGCGTTGTTAGTACCAGGGGCTGCTATATTCAGCTCAGGGGATCCTTCAACAATGTAAAGGCCTCCTTGCTTAACAGCTTTGATAAGATGATTACCATTTCTGGAAACCATCTTAATGCCAACCTGAGTAACAATACTACAACCTAACTCATCAAAAATAGATTCAGACAACAAGTTTCTTCTCAAATAAGGAACCCATCTCACATTTTGAATAATCCTTACAACTTCATCAAATATCCTTAGAGGCACATTACCTATGCCCTTAATATCCAAAGCAGTATTGTCCCCCAACATCACTTTTCCCCCATCACACAATTGTATAGAAGAAAAAATTGACTTATTGGAGGTGGCGTGTAATGTACAACCAGAATCAAGGATCCACTCATTTTTCAAAGAAGAATCAGAACAGACAAGCAATTCATGTTGTATTATGTTAGCAGACTCAGTATTAGAATTAGGATTGACAGTAGGTTTGGAGTCACCTTGTTTATCCCTTTTTTTTTTCGTACAGTCTCTAGCAAAGTGTCCTTCTATGCCACAGTAGTGACACTTGAACCCTTTCTTATCAGAATTTTTCTTATCATTTTGTTTTTTCTTTTTAGAGCCATTTTTCTTTCCTTTCATCTTGCCCTTCACAATTTAAGCTTCAGTTTTAGTTTCAGTCTTTTCATTATTAGAATGATCAGACTTAGACTTAAACACTTTAAGGGTTTCATTTTTCTCAAGTATAGCATCTATGATCTTACCAGGGGTGAGATCTTTATTAGAATACTGAATGACATCCTTAAAGTTATCAAATTGAGAAGGTAAAGAATTCAGGAGAATGACAGCTTGATGAGTATCTTTAATTTTTTTCATCTACCTTCTCAATTTCTTGTGTCATTTTAAGAAAATTGTCCAAATTATCAGAAAGAGACACATAAATGTTCATCTTAAAAGTGAACAACCTACATAACAGAGACATTTTTCTAGACATAGACTTCTTCATGTAGGTTGATTCCAGGGTATCCCATAACTGTTTAGGGTCTGTTACAGTTGAGAATTTTCTAGCAACATTATCAGAAAAGTGAATTATCAGTTCAGAGTAGGCAGCATTCTTTAATTCAATTAGATCAGACTCAGATATTCCAGATATTACAGCATCAGAAACAACTTTGAAGCATTTTTGCTTCATCAACAGAGCCTTCATCTTAAGCTGCCACATGGGGAAGTCACTAGTACCATCAAAGATGCGAATCTTGGTACTAGTGTCAGACATTTTCCCAATGTGGACTCAAGAAAGCAGATATGCACAAAGAGCAAATTAACAGAAAGAGTCAAGAAAAGAGGTATTAATCAGATTCTCTTAACCAACAACAAGCACTCTCTTAACCAACAGCAAGCGCAAGACAAAACAAATCTGAGCTAGGGTTTCAAGAATTTGGATTATCAAAAGTAACAGGATATGCGAACAAATAAGAATAATCAAGAACTAGAGTTTCAACAAGAAATCAAAATTCAATCCAAAGGTTAGAGTTCAGATTTCAAGAAAGCACACAAGGCTCTGATACCAAATTTGTTCTCAGACTTTACGAAGTCACAGTCAAACAAATCGGATCTCAAAACTTTAAACATGCAATCAAAGCAAAGTAAAAGTAAAAGACACACGATATGTTGACGCAATTCGGAAGAAAAACTTCCTAATCTCCAGGGTTTCAACAAGGGAAACTCGATCCCAAACAGATCCACTAGCTCAGAAGAGTTTTTATAATCAAGATGGTTGCAAAGCAATTAAACAAAGACCAGTAACTACAAACAATTAACAGACAAACGACTCATAACGAATAAAACAAGAGAAAGTTCAGAGTTAACCAAAATCGAATCCAGTAAGGAATTCGAAGGCAGAAGAAGACCCCCGGATGAACCAGCGGACAACCCCAATGGACAGGTTTCCTCCTTTCTCACTATCGTCACAAGAAGATGGTCTTAATCACGACAGTTCTGAGATCTCACAGACTCTCTCAAGTTTCTCTCTCTAGGGTTTTGAAGTATGCGGTGGAACAGTGCAGAAGGGAGGATAAAGGATATATAAATATCCTTCCGATGGAGCAGATAAGCCAACAAAAATACCGGACCAAAAAATAGGCCCACTATAAGAGGCTAAACCGGACAGGCCCAACAGAATAACCCAAAAGACCCTTACAAGAGATAACCCAAGAAAATTAAGCCAAATCTAATTGCTTTGCCATCCTATCTTAATTATAATGAAAGAATATATGAGAGAATTAGGATTATATAATATCCCAACACTTTTAACTCTCTATATATATTCAATTCACAGATCCGATCGAAGTAGTTTAGCTCCTCCAACTCCCTTTCTCTCCCACAGAAACTTTTCCGCCACCATAGCCGCCGCTGCGGCTAGTCCGGCTACAATAGCTTCCGTCAATCCCGTCATGTCCACCGCCATAGGACCATAACCTCTGTGACCATTTTATGGCAACCGATTTGTGTACCCTGCTATCACCTCCTGCATGAGTTCCACCGCCTTAGCCTTCAATTCTTCCGCCATTGAACCTCCTTAAGGAGTGGATTCCCCCCTACAGACATATTCATATATACGGAGTATATATATAACATCCGGTTTTGCTTTAATAGATGAATAGAAAATCATATCGTTTTATTGAAGGATAAATATATTACCTCTGTTCTCTTTTAATTGCAACATTGAATTTTTTTCACTATTCACATGTTCTATTTTGACTATATTTTATTTATTAATGTATTATAAATTAATTTTTTTAAATATATTTTTAAATTCTTCTCATTTTAAAATTTTAAAATCTGATTTTTAAAATTTTTTACTAATAAGGAATGAAAGATAACAATGATCAAACTTGTGCATTGACAAACGTGAAAAGTTGACCGTTGCATTTAAAAAGAAACGGAGGAAGTATAAAATTGATCGACATGCGTAAAATGAAATTAAACAAGAGGTTGTGCATAGTAAAAAATGGGCTGCATTAGAATTATCCTTTAAAGAAGATGAATTATAAATTTACCTTGAACATTACCTGGACCACAAATATATTTAAATAATATATAATGTCTTTAATCAGAATAAAATGGGCTGCATTTAGAATAATATATTATTCTTAAATATATTTGCTACCTAGTATGTTACAAGTATTAAAAATTAATTTACATATGGTTTAATTTGAATATTAATTCCAGATAGTTCTATGTTTTAAAAAATTTTATGGCCATCAAAGTTAGTTTTTTTTATTTAAAAAGTTACTCTCATTCCATTTTGGTTGTCTTACTTTTCTTACGGAATTTTATCAATACAGGACCCGAAAGATAGATGAATTATAAATCCGGAACCTGGAAGATGATATGTATCAGTATAAGACCTGAATGTTGGAAAACTATCAATCAAGGACCTCACATTTTATAGGTTTTGATTTATTTAATTTTTTAATAATTTCATTGTTTGTTTTTGATAAACTTGTCTTTACAAAAGTTTATTAGTTTAATAAAACTAAATGATATTTAAAATTTCCAAAATAAAAAAAATTAATAAAATTCATGACATTTTAGGCCCTAGATCGATAATTTTAAATCATTCAGGTCCTATAATGATAATTTTTCATCATTCAAATTCTGTATCGATATATTTCATCTTTTAGATCTCAGATTTATAATTCATCTAACTTTCGGATCCTGATAAAATTCCCGTTTCTTTTTGGTTGTCTTACTTTTTTTGGATTGTCCCAAAATGAATGTTATATATCCTTTTTATAAAAAATATGTAGTTCATATAATTTGACTTTCTTCTACTCACATCTCAATCACAAACTTTACTTTTCTACCACTTTATTAATAATCGTGTCAAACTATAAAATGACATCCAATGTTGGACTGAGGTAGTATGTGTTTTAATTAAAAGTTCAAGTTTTGTCCAATACTGGTCTGGACCGATCTTATTACGTGGAATAGTTTGATCCGGCCTTTGATTGAGATTATTTAAGTTCGGTCTCTCGTTCAATAATTTTGAAAAATCTGGTTCTGATTTGAGCATGTAGAAAGCATTCATTACTGAGTTACTAAACAAGCTACGTGAAAAACTATTTCATATAAAAAAAACATAACTACATATACACGATAAATATTTACAATTATATCGTTATATTTTTGCATTTTTCTCTCAATCATTTCTCGTGGTTTCGTGTTTTCATGCTCCGACATCCTCATTGGGAGGATTATTAGGAGATTAAATTGGTGACATGTCAGTTTTTTTAGAGAATTATCAATGAGTGACATATATTTTTTAATAGGATTATTTGCTACAATTATCTAGGATCAAAATATGAATCCGAATATTTTAAGATTATTTGAAAAGTATATGTAATAGAGATAAATGCAGGACAGAAAAAACAGATTATTTGAAGATGATGATTAAGAGACATTAACAAATTTTGAGATTATTTTATAATTAATTATATAACAATATTTAAATGGTAAGAATCATATACTACCTAAAAAATTGATTATTAAAGATCATGAATTTTCCATCATTTGCAATGGAGCCAAAGATTCATTAGCTCACTAAACTGTCTGCGCTTCTTTGTTATGAAGCTGTAGTCAGTCCATGCAATTTTGGACGCGATTTTCACTATGAGTCATCTGGAAACAGTCTCTCTATGCTTTAGTGCAGGGGTAAGACTGCGTACATCCGACCCCCTCTTACCCCATCGTAGGTGGGAGCCTTTGAAGCACTGGGGTAAATGAAAATGAAAGAGATCATGAATGGAGATACTCCTATCCTGTTTTTCATTTTTTGGTTGTGCAAATTCTAACGTATAAAACAAGCACATAGATAAGTGGAAATGTGGAAGGCAATTCAATGCTTGGATCAGTTGGATGGAAATGATCCCGTCGCAAGGAAGAGGACCGATTCTGTTACCTTTCTTGTTTAAACGTTGAAATGTCACCCTCCCCAACGGTGTAAGGCAAGTCCAACAAATTGGGACCTACAAAATAAGGACACTTCAAGATTGCACCATGACTTTCGGCCACATGATCTTGATCATGATGTACTACTCAATTTGGATGGCCATTATTTTAAGTTTTGAGCTATTTAAGTATCAAAACATTTGGGTTATGGCCTCCCAAGTCCCAACCCTATGTTAATCATAACGTGTTATTAATCCAAAAAATAAATTAAAGGGCAAAGGAATTGGCCATAACCACATAAATTAAATGCATCACGTGTACTGGCAATATCACTACATGGAAGTCCCTAAATGAATGTCTTACTTCTTTAACTTCCTTATTTGGTAAACAATTCTACATCAAACAGTGCAAAACAATGTCAAACGGTGTTCAAATAGTGCACTCTACGGTAAAATTTACCTCAGTAAATTCATTTACTTAATATGTGTGAAGTCAAACCAGGGCAATCTTTCGGGGGACGGAGGGAGTATATTCTTTATCTTTAGGCACCTTTTATGAGTTCTATCTCATGATGTTTTTTTGGATTGTTTTTAGTCCCAGACTAGATCAGAACAGACTTCAACAGACCAGATCAGGACAAACCAGACCAATCTAGACCTGACTTGGACAGTTATAAAATACAAAGAGACCAAACATTTACCAAACCAAACAAGACTTAACAAACCAGATCAGACCAAACTAGACCATACTAGCAAATTTCAATCCAAAAGAAAACATTCTCGGTATGCAATTCTAAAAAATGTCTCAATTTTTTAGGACGGTACAATAAATTTTAAAAAGTTGCTACCCCTATAAGGATAAATTCCTAAAGTTGACTGCATGTAATTCGTTTTAGGGAATTGAAGAAGTAATTAGGGAATTAAAAGATGGTGTATGAGTTATATATTTTTCCTTCTTAAGTTATTAATTAAATAGGTATTTTTTAAAAACACAATGGCTGGGAGCCTGGCAACTTCAAGTCTTCACTTGATCTAGTATCATGTACAATATATAAGAACAAAAGTACTTAATGCGCACATAATGGTAGGAGCTGAGCTGATAGTAAACTCTACCAGTTAGGTTGAGCAACTTCAATTCCATTCTTAAATATATAAACCTAACAGTAGAATTAGGTTGGTTGTAAAAGAAAAGATGGCAATTTAGAGAAGATGATGGAATGGTGTTAGCATTTATCAGTAGTATAATAAAGAGCAAAACGACCAGAAAAGGAAACAGTACATGGGACAAAAGGGAAGGCCCCATAGCTACTTCAACTGCCATCTTCAGGGTTTCCTTGGAGTAGCATTAAAGACTGTGATATCTCTCAATCCCCTTCTTCCTCTTTTGCTTCTCCTCTCTTAACTTCATCTCACTCTTTCACCATCCAAAACCCAACAGATTTGTATTACCCCTTTTTAAGCTCCTAAATCATACAAAATGCTACATATTATATGGAGCTCAAACTAGTCACCGAAAGTTTAATGAGTTTTATACAAAAAGATTTTCAAGAATCAAGAACATGAAATGTCATGGCTCTCATATTCTCCTTATGCTTCTCATCTTCACCATCACTGTGACACCCTTCACCACCCGTGGCATGAACACGGGTGCCTCATTAATCACCCCTTCTCCAGACTCAGGAGGAGATACAAATGAGAATGGACACAAAATTCTTGAAAAGGTGAGAGCTTTGCTAGGAGTGGATATAAGCTTCTTCAAGTTAGAAGTTGTTGCAAACAATGCGGGTGAAGGTTCGGTCTCCTTCTCGCCATCGCCATTGCCTTCTACCTCTCCCCCTACGCGGAGAAGAGGGACCCACCGAAACTCACATTCCCCTCGGATTCCACAAGCCCCACAGAGCAAAGTTAGGGAGAACAAGCAAAGGGATGGAGAAATAACAGTCAGTTCTAGAAGGATTGTGACAGCAGTAATTGTGTCGGCGGCTGTGACATCTGCTTTTTGCACTATTGGTCTTTTTTGTGGATTCATAAGGTTCAGGAAACAGATGAAGAAAAAGAAAGACTATAACGATACACCCACCTCTATGAAGATCAATGAGGAGGAGGAAGAAGAAATACATAAAGCTGGTCGGCAGGGGATTGCGGCTGTTCATACATCAGAAGAGGATGATGATGATGGATCATCCGGTGAAGAATCTTTCCATTCTGTATGCAATGAACATATTGACTCGGCTGAGATTATCTCCCAAGATGAGTCAAAGCTCCCGTCCAAAAAAGTGCCACCACCTCCTCCTCCTCCACCACCACGGATGTCACAGCCTTTTAGTGAAGCATCAGTTTTCTTGACGTCGCAACCTTTTTCTTCACGCAGGAGCTTGGATTCTTCTTGTGCTTCACACCGAGCGGCAGAAAATGAAATGCCGCTAAAACCTCCACCTGAGGCTAATTTTTTCTCAAAAGGTCCGCCACCACCTCCACCGTCACAGCCGTTCTGTGGCACGCCATTTCTGGGAAAAGATGGGAATAAACTCCCAAGACTGAAACCTCTCCATTGGGACAAAGTAAGAGCTCCACCTAATCGTTCGACTGTATGGGACCAGCTCCAACCTAGCTCATTTGAGTAAGGTTTTCACCTCCAAATTAGTCTAATCTCTTTCATTTATTATAAGATATACAGTTCAATTTATTAAGGTAGTGTACCTAATATAGATTTGATTAGTCTAAGTCATTGCCTTTATTAAAACTTAAACTGAAGATGAATGTATGTAACTTAGTTTAAAAGTAAGTTCATACTCCGTAACTTTTATTTGAGATAAGTCAGATGGCTAACGTGCTTAACACATACTACCTTCGTCCCATGCAAATGTTATTGTCCAATATTCACCGATCAACATAAAGTCTTCGTAATCTTTTACTTTATACATCCAACTTTTATCAAATTTGCTTTTTTTGCGACTTTATACCACTTTTAATGTAGTTTCTGAATATGTAAATTTTATTTACTAAAAAATGTAATTACAAACAAGGATCAATTAGCTTTATGATCAGTCAAACATTGCAAACCGCGTGAGAACCTTTCTACACGACGGAGTATGTATCACTAGTTTTGTTTTTTATTAATTGTAATAATTTGAAGTTTTGCAAAACATAAATATTGAATTTATTTTGGATTAAAATAATGAGAATTTTTTCTATTAAATTTTTCTCAACTTAAAACTTCATAATATGGGTTTCTTCTAACTTTTATTAATACAACAACAACATCCTGTCCTATTCCAAAAATATTTTGGGGTCGGCTCTAACTATTATTAATAGTTAATTAAATATATCAAGGATCAAATTTTCCTGTTTGTAAATGTAAAAATTAAAATCTTACAAACAAATAAGAATGGAAAACATACATGAGTGACTTATTGAATCTTTAGATTGAGTCGAAGAAAAACTGATTTGTTTAAAATGCATTAATTCAAATGGGAATTTCTTTAATTTATCTATGATGGCGTGGAGCAGATTTGATGAGGAAAAGATGGAGTCGCTTTTCGGTTATGACAACCTACAAAACTTTATCAACGAGGATGCTAAAAGCAAATCTTCATCTCCAAGGAAACATGTTCTCGAGCCGAAGAGATTACAGAATATAACCATACTTTCAAAAGGTTTGAATGTCACTTCAGACCATGTTTGTGAGGCTTTATTAAAAGGTAATAAGGGTACCATGGCCAGCCAAGATTTCCAATACATTTGAAACGAAAAAGATGCATTATTTACTTAGGGAAAAATGGCTAATCATTTTCTCTTCTAATTTCCCTTATTCAAAACAGGAAAGGGGCTTTCTCTGAGAGAATTGGAGGCATTGGCAAAAATGGTACCAAACAAGGAAGAAGAAGCCAAACTGAGAAGTTACAAAGGAAAAATAAATGAATTAGGATCAGGGGAGAAGTTTGTCAAGGCGATGTTAGGGGTGCCATTCGCTTTCAAGAGAGTTGAAGCCATGCTTTATCAAGAAACTTTCAGTGATGAAGTTCTTCATCTCCGAAAATCTTTCTCAACGCTTGAGGTAATATTTAAATATATAATACTCCGTCTATATCATACTTGGGTAGTTGGCTAGACATGATAAAAGAACTCACTGATATACTACCTCCATCCAGCGTGAATCTTAATATTTCAGTTTACGATGTTTGGCTCATCAGAAAGCAAATCTGACAAATTTTGGATTATTGTTCATAATCCAAATGAACAGATTCATAAGCTACACTACAAGTTATACTAAGTGGCAAAAACAGAATTCAAATATAATAAAATTTTGATATATAAAATTAGACCTTAAGATGAAGTTCAGTTGTCCCTATGAATAACAGTAAAGATTCAAATGTGACGGAAAGAATAATTTTTTCAAAAGAAATTATACGTGAAATAAAGAGTTGTCCGGCGTGCACACGCCATGTTACACGTTTTTGTACACACCTCGTAGTTGTTTGTATACAAACAGATTTTTACTGAAATAAAACCTTTTTGCGGGACTTGATCAATTTTTCTGTTTCGAGCCCCCTTACCTCACCCCAAAATATATCAAGTCAGTCACCATTTGACCCATCTGAGTTTTAATGAGAAGAATCATCCATTTCATTCTAGGAGGCATGCAAGGAGCTGAGATCGAGCAGGCTCTTCCTAAAGTTACTGGAAGCAGTCCTAAAAACCGGAAACAGAATGAACGTAGGGACGACACGAGGCGGAGCAAGATCATTCAAACTTGATGCTCTCCTTAAGCTGGCTGATGTGAAAGGAACCGATGGCAAAACCACACTCCTCCATTTCGTCGTCCAGGAAATCATCCGCTCCGAAGGCCTCAAAGTCTCTCAGAGTATAATGGGAAAGATTGAACCCACTGACTACAGGAAGATGGGCCTGGATCTTGTTTCCAGCCTCAGTAATGAGCTCTGTAATGTGAAGAAGACTGCCACCAGCGTTGACACAGACATGCTGGCTAATTCTGTCCTTAACCTTTCTGTCGGGTTGGAAAACATAAAGAGGCTCTTGAATACGGACTTGGTAGGTGTGGAGGAAAAAGATGACATCTTTCTGCAGTCTATGGGGTTGTTTTTGGGTTATGCAGAGAGGGTGTTGAAGGAATTGAAGGAAGATGAGGAGAGGGTGCTGTTGAGGGTGAGGGAAATCAGGGAGTATTTCCATGGAGATGTGAGGGGAGATGAATCAAGCCCCTTGAGGATTTTCATGATTGTCAGAGATTTCTTGGGTATGTTAGATCATGTTTGTAAAGAGCTTAGAAACTCAAAACCTTCAACTGCTCATCCTAACCCTTTATTATTATCTCCATTCAGGTAGTGCCTGATGTAGTTAGTTTGGGCTGGTTTTGTCAATAATTTATTCCTTTTTATGTGTGTCGGTTGTGTATATTTATATTAATCAGGTGATGTTTATTAACACTAAATTAAAGATGTTTTCATTTAAACCCAAAGTTCTTTGTCTAGTATTATTTGGTTGTTGTACCAAGCTTCCCCAAAAATAGTCATTATCATCATCATTACCCCGGTGCCGCAAAGGCTCCCACACCTTTGGTGGGGTAGGGGGTCGGATGTACGCAGTCTTACCCATGTACTAAAGCATAGAGAGATTGTTTATCCATAGTGAAAATCATGTCAAAAAGTGCATGGACTGACTGTTGCTTCATAACAAAGAGTTTAGTAAGCCATTTTGATTTATTCCAATATTCCATCATATTCTCAAGCCAAAAAAATAGCGAGTCTTTGGCTCCATTGCAAATGATGGAAAAATAGTGCAAGCAAAAAAGACCGCACTATAGATAAAATCGTGCTCATTCTAAAAATTTTGAGTCCCATGAATGTAAATGTTGTAACTAACACCTATGGAGTTCAAAATAATAAGACCATATGACCATGCATCTCAAAGGTATATATGTTAGGGATGATAGGCTCAAAGAAATATAGTTCATCCAATAGAGCAAGTTTTATGAGACTAATGTGCAAAAATAAAGTGAAGGTGGACTCAATGTGTATACTATCAGTGGCATGGGACAAAAAGTGATGTTCTAAGCTATTCAATTTACATAAAGGATTCATTGAGTGAGACACTTTTTTACATGAAATGGGAATCGAACATAAGAGCTCATATGCAATTGAATGGTGCATAACAAAAAAAGCACTAAGATGTGTACATGACCTCGCCATTAAGAATGAATATACACGAACTCAATAACTCAAAATAGAACCATGAAGCCGGGATGTAGTAAAAGCTAACCATCATGTAAAAAACAGATCATGATCATCAAAACACAAAGTGAAGCTTGGGGTGCCCCAACCAAAAGGTATATAATTGTTCAAACATTAGGGTGTCCTCGTAGAAGTAATAAATATGACATAAAAACCAATAGGTATGCATCAATTCTTGCATGCAAGGAGGTTTGATCAGACTTCCCAAACCTGATGCTAAAAAATGTTACAGCTTCACACATATTCTTAGTAAAGTGTAACAGGTCTCTTCAAAATTTTACTCTTCTATACTTTCTAATAACAAATCCAGATCGTCTTTCTCTATGACAGAAGTGCTACAGGCAATTTAAAAGGGGATTGAAAATTAAATGACATTGTCTTACCATCAAGCAGTGTGTCAAGAAGTGATTCACTGGAGGGCATTTTGCAAGTGTTTTCATAAACTAGAGACTATATCATCCAAAAAGTACAGTGTATTTTTGCAAGGATAACATCGTCATCCAAAACATGTCAAAGAAGACTTGTGTATTGCCTACTCTTAGCACTAGTTTGTCCACCCAGCACATATGTGAGACCCATAAGCCACCAATAGTGATTTCCCTATGTGTATTAGTGGTACTAATGCCCCAAGCTTTTGGTCCATATAAAAAACAACAAAACTAACTACAAAAAATGAATTTGTCAACTTTAGCTAACACACTTTCAATGATCCCAAGAAAATATTTTATCGAGATATCAATAAAAGACACATTAGTCGGTCAATGACCCGGCTTGATTCTGTATATGTTCCATATAATTTTCTCTAACCTTTGGCTACAAAGATATAGTAATTATAATTTAATCCCCGTATTATTTTCTCTAACCTTTAGTTAAATAGATATAGTAATTATAATTTAATGAATATAGTATTCATGCAGTTACTAATCAAAACTTAAATGGTATTACTATAAGTCACCATGAATGTTCCTAAATCTTAATCAAATTTTGTTGACAATCATGTGCAATGCTTGTATAGGAAAAAGTAGGGTTGGGCACATCAATTTCAGTTTGGTTATTTGTGATTCGTGTCTGATTTAGTTTGAAACGGATTGGAAGAAAGATTATCAAACAACAATCGCACATAGTACGATTTTTGGATTTGATTCGGTTCCAGTTAGTTCGATTTGATTCGGCTAGTATTTGTTATTTTTAATAATATAATATATGTATATATAAAGATTTTATCAAATTTTGTAGTCGATTCGATTTATTTATTTTTACTCAATTTCGATACGTTATTCAATTTAGAAGAAATTCTCTTAAAATCAAACCAAATAACATATGATCGAGTTTTTACTCGATTTAGGTGGATTCAATACGATTGGGGAAAATGTCAAATAAGTCTTGTACTTTCTCAAAAAAGTATATTAGGAGCAATGGCTTGTTTAGTATCAAATTCAACACCGTGAGGATGGAAACTTAAGCAGAAAATGTAGGCTACTACGATGGAGACTGAATCAGAAGGTATAGGAGGGGGCCCTGGAAACTGAACCAGAAGAAATGGGCGGGGGATATATACACAGATGTTTCCCTTTCTGCTCATCCAGATGCTCCTCTCTCACTCAGATTTAATTTATGAAGTGAGGTAGACACGGTTTTCAAATCCAGTAAATAGAAGTACAATATTAGTTTCTCACTTTCTGATGTGAAACCAATAAAACTTGCAGCTAATAATTTCCAGTAACAAAAAGAGGATGAAAGAGAATAAAGGGGGAAAGAACCCAGAGAAGTTACCTGGGCGGCGACTGTCTGGTGGATCTGCCGGGCACGGGGGAGGGCCGCCAAACTTTTAATATGGAATAATTAAAAGCCAACATCGACCAATTACCTACTTATTCCACTCACCTTTACCCTTTCCTCATTACCACATGACGCAACTGTTGCAAGCTACGAGCAGGGAGACTTAAACCACGGAGAAATGGAGTGCTTAGCACGCCTTGAAGAGACCTAAACTAGTGTAATGTTGACTGGGTATGAAATTCAAAGCTCCGGCAATGATAGCTACTAGAAGAGAAAGGTGCGGAGTTGGAGGCGTAGCTTGAACTGGAGTTGCTTTTACCGGCGGGGATGAGTGGCTGTTTTGAGCTCGATTAGTTTATTCGGGTATAATTCTGGATACATTCAAAATTATAAGTCTATTAATAAGTCTATTACAAAAACGTAAAAATAATTGAACTCAGAATAAAGTGGTAAGAAGTGATACATAGTGTAATAAGTGTTTGTAGTTAAAGAGAGATTAAAACGTCGTTGAAGCTAAAAAGGGAAAATGTTAATTTTATAAAAGAGATTTAACATGTGAAAGTACAAAGTGGGAAATAAAATAATAACTGTTAATAGTGAAACTACAACTTCTAAAAAACTTTTTTGTAAACAACATTAGTAGTATGATCGATCTGTTGATCATCTTCATCACAAATTTGGAACATCCGATTGAGATATCTTATTCAAAATTTAAAATTTAAAATTAAAATCTCTAAAATTTCTAAAATCTGAACAACATAATGAATTACACCCATTAACATAAAAACCTTGAATTGGACATCCAAGCATAGCTAGCTAATTACGACATAACATCCCTAACAACTAAAATATAAAAAACGTAAACCTACGTTATTTTAAAACCCAACATTTTAAATACGACATAAGTAATAGGAACGAACATATTATAAACCAATAAGCTAAATACCATTTGTGAAAGAGAATTTCAATTATATTAATTTTAACATAGTGAAAAAACATTTTATTTAAATAATATATACATATGAATACATATAAATCCAAATTTTATATTTTTATATAAATACATAAATTAGATAAAGTCAATGCCCTAATAAAAGAAAGTGAACCACATTGATAAATGACATTCATAATTACAAATAATAATGAATTATTAAAAATTTAATAATTAACAATTAACCATTATTAATAATTAATAGTTATTAATAAAAAATTGCACAATTTTCGTATTTTAATAAAATATTAAAATGATAATGATAATTTTAACAACCTAAGAATGAGGATCATCTATATTACCCAGCCCAATTTCGGACCTGATTTAAAAAAGCATTGACCCAATTAGACAATACACAGCCAACAACCTGTATTTACTTCTGCCCAACAACCTAAACCTAAACCGCATTATATATACGACCTTTACCCTACACTTAACTCATTTACCCTGCGGCCAATATCTTAGACCATCGGTTCTCTATTCTTCTACGTTCTTCTCTCGACTTTCCCTCTCCTCCTTCACCGATATTTCTGTTCTCATCTCTAATTACATTGAACCGTCCCATTACTGTGAAGTAAGTGTCCATTCGTCCATTTTAAAATTTTGACTATGCCCTAAATCTGCTTGCTTGTTGGAACGAATGTTTTTATGTTTTTTTTTTCGCAACTCGTCCATTAGACTGGATAATACATAGCGGATGCGTCCAAGTTGATTTTTGTATACCCTCTTTCCAAAATTTCGTCCTCAAACATTTCTTTGATTTTCAACAGTCCTTGTGCATTTTTTGCTGATTTTTAGAGATCTCATATGACCAAGTATGGTGATAATCTTTTTGACAAAATTTTATTTATTTTTTTCGCATGCATGACATTTAGTACCAAGTTTGAGTTTTTACAAAACGGGTTTCAAAGTTTTTACTAAGATCTGTAAATCTGTTGATTTCTGTACCGTTTGAGGATAAAAAAATCCAATCGGATATACCACTTGATGCCCAGGTCTGTCCAAATATCGGATCTATGTTTGGTGGCTGATGAACATGATTTTTTCAATTGGTCTCGGTCAAGTGAATCGTTTTTTTGAAGTGACAAATACGTACCATTATCTCTAAATATTTAGATTTGATGTATAACTTGTCATACATGAAGTTGGCTTGAGAGATAAGAATGGTGATTACGAATAAGAAAACAAATGGTTTTGTGTTCCTCACCATTTGATGAATCTGTTTTTTTGAATCCAACTTCAGTGATAGCCTAATATATCTTGTGTAATTTGTTTTAAACTGGCCAAAACACAAAACATTATTTTCTATACCCTGTATATCTATTAAATATTTTTATAATTATCTAATAATTTTTCATTTCACTTAAATCGCTATAATACATATGCCGTATTCTTTAATCCATTTCTACAACCTGATTTTTATCTCCCCGCGTGAAAATTATTTACGGTTGTCATTCAAAATAACAAAGAGGAAACATTTAGGGCTCAAAATGATAGTACATACAAAAGGTAAAAATTTAGGACTAAAACGTTTGGTGGACAACTTCCCTGAGTCAACGACAACTTCCTTGAGAAACGACTACATACCTGTGATTTGTGCAATTGAAATATGTTCTGTGGTGTTGTGGGATGGAAAATGAAGTTGGTCTATTTATACTGCAGCTTCGCTTCTTTGTCATTAACGGATGGGTTTAATATCCAGTAGGCAATGAACACTACTTACCAACGGATATATATCTATTGCACCAATTTTTAAAATGTAGCTTGAGCAGTTGTAAACCATTTATTGTCATTGTACTTTAAAGATCACAACCAATATTTTGTACTGCTCAATAAAATATGTGTACCTTCCATTAAATGCGTAAAAGTATTGAAAGGATATAATATCTGAAATTGAACTCAAACGTGTGGCACTATCCTGATGTGCTTGGATCTGCATTTAATATTCCAAAAAGTTCTGAAAAGACTTACTGCTACAAAACCTTTTAATGCATTCGCCGCCCACCTACTACAGTCCATTTCAAACTGACAAAATACGGCTAAAGCAAGAAGAATCTCTTAGGAATTCATACTTCATTGTACGCCCATCCCCTCTAGACCCGATTTAACCATGTTGACCCGACTTGACCCAGTGGAAATGGGCGGGAAAATCACCTGCCTTTCCACTGCGGTTTGTATATAGTAAGATACTTCCCTATATGAATTTTTCAAAAAATTGAAAAATTATGGGGCGCGTTTACATTTTCCAGTTTTTCAGAAAAATGAAAACAGAAAATGTGTTTAACAAAAGAAAATTACTGGAAAATTAGAGAAAGAAAAATAGAAAATTGCGTTTAACAAATCATTTTTCAAAACCAAAAAAATGAGATGTCTCTCATTTCCTTAATAAATTGGAGAAGTGACTTTTACTAGTTTTTCAAATTTGGAAAAGGTGTATGCTATAGTGCCGCTGCAATTAATTCGCATACTTACGCCTAGTGGTGGATCCAGTTCAACTCTGATGTCATTGACTGGCGGTCCTTGTCCGGTCCAGCTTACGGCCGAGCAATCCCTGTCTAGTCCTGTCGACGACCCGACGGTCCCGGTCTGGTCTGGTCGATGACCCAACGGTTCTTATCCGGTTCGGTCCACACCCGTGCGGCCTCTGTCCAGTCCGGTCCAGAAGCCGACGGTCCCTGCCCGATCTGATCGATGACCCAATGGTCCCTGACCGGTCCAATCGAGGACCCGACGGCCCTTGTTCAGTCCATCGATGACCCGACGACCCTTGTTCGGTCTTATCCATGACCAGGCGGTACCCGTCCGATTCATTACCGATCCGGTGGTCCCCGTCTTGTCCGGTCAACCACCCGGCGGTCCGTGTCTGGGCCAGTCAATGACCCGGCAATTTAATCTCGGTTTTTTGAAATCATTTTTTAAAGTGAAAAATTTAAAAGAGCCCGTTGAGTTGTCCACCGATAGGGAAATGAGAAAAGAATTCTTCAAACTAACCGTTGAGATCGACCGGGATCGGCCCATTTTAGTCATGACTTTCCTATATGTGGGACCTGGTATCCTACGTGGGTTGTACTAGGTTTGATTTCGGAATGGGGCCGTACTTTCGGTCTTCTAATCGGTCACATAATAGGGTGAAAAAAATTGATGAACATGTTTTCAGATTTCAAAATGGAAAACTAAAAAATGAAAACAGAAAATTGGAAATAGAAAAACTGGAAAATGAAAACATAAAATTGGAGAACCAAAAATAGAAATAGAAAACTGAAAAATATCTCTGTTATTACACAGGCCCCTAGTACTTTAAGGATAAAATGTATAATACACGTACCGTACGCATTGATATGTATTTGATTAAAAAACGCAATATTAAATCGAAGCCTAATGAAATGGTAAAACTGAAGCGTAATGTCTAGCTTCTCATGACTATTTATATTGCTTAAAAATTATTATGTCTTATATGTTCGTTAATTGTTTTAAAGTCATTAGATTCAATAAATTAGCTCTTTAAAGTCATAATCCTTTTCAAATACTTTTGCATTACTTTTTCTCCACCCATATCAAAACTCCAAAGATAACAAAAAATTGCAGCGGCTCACCAAAATCACGATCACAGTAATATCAACTATTCTCTAGTAATATCTCTCTATTTCTATTCAAATAGGCAATGTCATTTTTATTATTTATTGCACCTATGAATTCAAATTCGTATATCTGGGCGATTTGGTACATTTTAAAGTACGGAGTATTAAAGTGTGTGGACGTGTGGTGCATATGTTAAATTACTCTTTTATTCTATCATTAAATTAGTATATAGACACATATTATATACCGTATTTTTAAATTGTGAAACGTTTAAAACATGTATGTATCTTTAGTTCTTTACCCATTTCACGAACGTATGAAACATATATTTAACCGCGCGTACTTTATATAATTGTACTGTATTATACATGAACTTACATATTATTCTACAGTATTATTCATGAACCCTATAATACTAACAAGGGTTTTGAGCATTACCGGGAATATGAAGAATGCGTTGAGGCAAGAGAGGCCATATGGGCAACGGATTTATTTATTTATTTATTTATTAAAGTTTAGAATAGAATAAAGAGTAAATTGCGTAAATGGTCCTTGAACTATCATCACCATATTATTTTGTTCCTTGAACTATTAAATATATATTTTTAGTCCTTAATCTATTTAATCTATATTAAATGAGTCCTTCCGTTAAAATGTGCCATTAACATTAACGCCAACGGTAGCTAATTTATTAACATCTCATAGTTTTAAATGTTTTAGAACAATACAATTATTCTTATAATTTAAGTAGCTAATCTAGTTTTTTTTAAATATACTTATATAACACATACACACACAAAAATTCTAAATATATAATTAAATAAATAATATAAAACCAAATGTATGGCTTAAATAATATATAAGAGAGAGTCAAATAACTCAATTATATACATATGAGCAAATAAAATTAAATAACAAAATGAGGATGGTTGTTATTATTATTAATTATATTAAAAGAAAATTATCCTATGTATGACTAAAACTCATCCACTTTCACAATACATGACATCATTAGTCTTTCCCCAAAATAATACCCCATATTTAAATTTGTAATATTTAATTTATAAATAAATAACTTTTATTGACTAATTTGCCCTTACATTTTTACCAGAATATTCCCTTAGATTGATATTATAAAACCCTAACCTCCTACTTATTATCTAAAAACTATATCAATTAGCTGGTCGCCGCAGCACCCGCCGCCCTGTCGCCAAGGCACCCGCTATCCCCATCTCCACGGCACATGCCTCTCCCATCACCGCAGCCACCCCTTATGCACCGTCATCGTCTCCATAAAGTAGGAATGATACAAAACCACACAAATTTTGCCAAATTCGGTATGAGACAATCATAGTGGACGGATCGAAAAAGAAAAATAAGACAATCTCAACATGACGGAGGACGTATATTATTTAAGTCATACATTTGGTTTTATATTATTTATTTGATTATTTATTTATAATTTTTATATGTGTATGTGTGTGTGTGTGCGTGTATGTATGTTTAATTTTTAAAAAACAAATACTATGAGATGTTAATAAATTAGTTAGCTACCGTGAAAGTTAATGACAAATTTTAACAGAAGGACTCATATAATATAGATTGAATAGGTTAAGGACCAAAATGATACATATAATAGTTCGAGGATCAAAATGATATGATGATTATAGTCGAAGGACCATTTATGCATTTTACTCTAGAAAATACTAAATAGAATGCATTAATTAAAAAAAAGTCGTAAAAGAAGGCGGTCGCCTCTACGGTTGTCCCTAGCTGGTTGTACCGGCGGTGATCACCTTTGTCAATAGGTTCGGTGGTGACTTCCCCCGAATTCTGGCATGATTTTCAACAATTCGAATGAGTATACTGAGTTGGAATTGAGAAATCCAGCCACTACATGATGCTTTAATGTGCAGATGTGGCGCAGGCTAATAGACTGTCGATAATCTTCGGGCTCTCGGATTCCACTGCATCTATGGGATCGACAACGATGGATTGAGCGGAGGACTGATTCTGGGCCGGGGAGACGAGGTCAAGGTGGACATTGTGAAGGGCGAGTCTAATTTCATTGTCTGTCTGGTTCGATTGAAGCCGAACGATCAGCCATGGCGGCTAACCGACTTCTATGGCTTTCGGGAGACTCGTCGAAGGCGGGACGCGTGGGATGTCCTAGAGGATTTGGCCGTGAACAACAGTGGGCCGTGGATGTTAATCGGAGACTTTAATGATATCATTTACAAAAGTGAGAAGAAAGGGTGTATCCCTTCCCCCATGGATGATACACGGTTTCCAAGAGGCTATCCATAGTTGTGGTTCAAGAGATTTTCCCTTTTCGGGGTACCAGTGGACGTGGGAGAGAGGCAAAGGTACCATTTCTTGAGTGGAAGAAAAGCTTGATAGAATCCTGGTTAATGACGAGTGGTGGACACATTCATGGAGGCTCAAACAGCTTCATTTGAAGCCTCGACAAGTGACCATATGGCCCTTTGGATGAAGGTTGTAGCTACTAACAATGCTAGTAGAAGAAAAAGATTCAAATTCAAAAATAACTGGGTGAAGGAAGAGGAATATCGTATGGTCATTACAAATAGTTGAGGAGCAGCCGCTCACATGTCAATTAACGATTGGATTTCGTTTTGTGGAAACGAGCTTCTTCGTTGGGACAGAGGCAGAAAGCGGGGTTTCATACACCAAATATTGGCATGCAAAAGTAGGTTATCATGTGGCTAACCAAATATTGGCCTGCAAAAGTAGGTTATCATGTGGCTGTGTGGAAAGGATGATAGGGCAAGTGTAGAGAGTTCCTGAGGGTCCTAACCGTGCTTCAAATTCTCACGGAAAAGGAGAACCTTTTATGGAAACAGAGGGCAAAAGAATTCTGACTCAAAAAAATGTGATATGAATTCTCTCTTTTTTCATAATGCAGTGAAACAGAGGAGAAGAAGGAACGGAATGTTTGGCATTAAAATGGCGAACGGGTCATGGACTACATATAGGGGAAAGCTGCAAACGGTTGTCATGGATTATTTCTCATCTCTTTTCGAGGCATCTGACAGAATTTTTGAATTTTGGTCACTGACAGATTTTGAATTTTTGGTCACTAATGATTTTTGGTCACTGATGAATTTTGGTCACTATAGTGTTATTGGTCACTGTGACGTCACCTGTGACACCAATGGGTGAGATTATATTAGTATATAAGGGTATAATAGTCTCCTAACACCTTTTTAGTCACATTTTTGTGAATTGAGAAAAAGGGTCACTTTTTTGTCCATTCCTCTTTTTTTAATACTCCCTCCGTCCCAAAAGGGTTGATCAAAGTTGACTTTCACGTGGATTAATAAAGTAAAAACTGTGTGGTTGAAATTTGTGCAGAGGAGAGAGAATTAATTTTAGCCACATTTTCCTTACTTTAAATGGAAATGGAAAATCTTTTTGGGACATCCAAAAAGAGAAATTTGGCCAACCTTTTCGAGACGGAGGGAGTAATATTTTAGAAATAACCCCTTTTTATTACGTAGTATTTCGCAATTCAGTACACGAAATCAAAAGTTACGTGTTTGGTGAAAAAGTTGATTGATAAGCGTGATAAACCAAAAAAGAAATCACAAAAACTTGAGCTTGTTTACAAAGTCCACAGATGATCTACCATAGTGTCATTAGTGTGATATATCAAAATTGAATACTCCGATCCATTCTCTAATAAAATATGAGTATAATGACATGATTTTTTCATCCTCTATAAATTTTGGATTTTACATAATTTACTCTTATTTAACACAAATAATGTTGCATCTTATACATAGTATTAAGTAATGTTCCAGTAATCTTCAACCGAAACACTCAAAGGTTGAGCTTGTTCACTACTTCCACTTCCTTCCTGGGACCAAGAAACAACCTCTCCCGTCGCCTCGCCGCCCCATCTGTTATTATCTCCTCCTCTTTGGTTTGCGACGTCCGGTGGCAGATTATTCAGCCGTAGCTGCGCGTCGACAGCCATGCCCGCGTTGGAGGCGGCTGTTTGCACCGACCCCGGCGACATCCCCGGCCCAACTCCGGCAGGTAGCGTCAGCGTTGGGAAGTTGAGCTTGTCCGCTGCCATGCTTTCTCTAAGGCAAACAAAGGCAACATCGTGGGCCACCGCAGCCGCCTCCGGAGTGGCGTAGGTGCCCAACCAAAGGCGGTCTTGCGTGCCGGGGACCCGAATCTCCGACACCCATTTGCCCCATTTCCGGCGACGAACACCTTTGAATTTAATCTTGGAGTCTCCAGAAGCGCTCATTATATGTAAAGCATGTATGTTAGTTAACCTGCATGGAAGAAATGATATTTATAGGTTGAATATGAAAAAGTCAAAAGGGATAGGTTCAAACATTAAATGATTTGAAGAATATATGGACTTACAATATTAAAATTTAGTAAAAGCTTTGACGTTGAATTTAAAAAAAAAAGAGCAAACCATTGCTTTATTGGTCAAAATCTATTAAATTGTTTCCAAAATTAAATTCGGTTCGGTAGCTATAAGCCATTTTCCATTTGACTTATTGCTATGTAAACAACACTGCATACCCACGGTTGGACCGACTAAAAAATCAGCGAGTGAGTGAGTGAGAAATTAGACCGGTTAATAGAAACGAACATATTCAAAATCAGATATTTGCCAACCTTTTTTTCCAAATGTGTATTCCACAAAAAACATTTGCGATAGTGGCTTAAGAACTTATCATTTTTAGCCTTTTGATTACGTGCAAAAACGTAAACACCCAAACACATTTAGCGCTTTATAATCGCAAATTATATCGCGGGATTGGTCCACCACGTGCAAGGTGTGATGATCCCAAACATTACAGTTTCATACTAAAAATTGCAAATCTTTTATTTCCTTCATCTCCCTCGCTCATTCATCTCCTTCATCAGTTGCTATGCCTATCTGTTGCGCATGTGTTCTGCATCGAAATTGTGTTTCCTCCCTCTATGTATTTATTGTGCATCTAGGAGTGTCGTGTCTAGGCTTAGGTACTCCGCATCTGATTCTCCGCGTTGCTTCGAAATTGCCTAAAATCTCATGACCAACATAACACAGACCTTAAAATCTGAGATCCCAATCATATCTACGCCCATCTATCCATGCGGAGATTCAATATGTGTACAAAATCAATATCTCAAGTCTAAATTTATCCTTCTGATTCAAGTTTGAGGGACAAAATTTGAGGAAAGTCATTACCGATCCAAATTCTTGTCTTTCCGGTCAATTATTTTGATTATATTTGAGCTAAGATATATTTCTATGCTTATATTTGATTTGGGCACAAGTTACATTTCTGTTAAAGCAATTTACATTTCAATTTAGTTCAAGTTACATTTCAATTAACGTGATTTGCATTTTCGTTTTAGTTCAAATGACATCCCAATTAACATGATTTACATTTTTAAATTTTCTCAAGTTACATTTTACACACTATCGAGTTACATTTCGTTTTGTCTAAAGTTACATTTGCTAACACACGGTTTACATCTCACAGATGAAAAGTGATAGAACTACTAGAGGAAGTAACATGGGTTATATTTCAGGGAACAAGTTATATTTGACACTAACTCGAGTTACATTTGTAATAATGCGAGTTACATTTCATTACAAGGAATTTACATCACATTTTTTATTTAATTATTAAGTCAAATAATACCTACGAGAGCATGATCCTCACTGTGGGCTGCTCCCATGATATAACAATTTCTTTATAATCAAGTAAAATATCATTTAAAATTTCATATAGTGATTTATGTTGATCTAGATCAGCGGAATTATGTATTTATGTATCGTCACTTCAGGTCATGGAAATTTTACTATAAAATTGTACAAAAGACCTGAACATATGATAAACTTCATTTTTATCTAGCAATAAATAAACACATACGACTCCAGAAAAATCATGAAACATTTCAGAAAATTTCTAGCATCACAAGACGATGGAGTATTTTGTGAATTGATAAAATAAGAATAAAGTACTCCCTCCGTCCCGCTAACAATGGATCGGAGTATCCCCAAATATCTCAATGTTTCAACGCCCCCCAAAAAATTCAAATAGTTTTATTAGCACTCAAACAGAAAGGATCTCTAGTTTGTTTGGCCTTATGAGATACAAAGTACTCCCTCCCTCCCGCTAACAATGGGACAAGAGGGAGTGACACGCAAATTAATAAAAAGTGGTTTATGTGGTTGATATTGAATTGATAAAATAAGAATAAAGTAAGAATGATTTAGAGCCACACAAACTTTACCAAATTTGGTATGTGACAATCTTAGTGGGACGGACCGATAAGGTAAAATGGGACAATCATAGCGGGACGGAGGTAGTACTACATAACGTGTAGAAAAACTATGTCATGTTATGTAGTACTTTGTATACATAGAAGACAATGAGAGATCCATATCACATGAAGACTAATTCTGGTAATCGTGTACAAAGTATCACTGGATTGTATATCATTCATAGACGACTATCCTTCATTAATTGTAAAAGCTTGAATCGAATGTCACTTCATCCTTACCAAAATAATAAAGTCCATTTCGGCGTCCGCCCAATCCAATTAGCTTCCTACGTCCAATAAAGGTTGAATCCCCAACCCAAGGGCCCCCCACCCCGACCCGACAGGATGGTGGGGGAGTAAATCACGGTGACTCAGTCGGCAAAACGGCAGTAGGCCTTTACCCGTGCGCACTAGAGGGCCAACCTTATTTCAGGTTCTGAAAACCCCCTTTTGGCCGCTGCGGGATTCGAACCTTGATCTACGTCCAATTTTTCCCACCGCTCGATCAACTGAGCTACCCGTGCGGGTATCCAATTAGCTTCCTCAATTGGTGGAAGTAAGGAAGTGTCTGCATACATACCTAAAAATGTGTGAAAGTAAGAAAAAATATGATCATAAATTGTATGATGATCACCTTGACTTGTTGTATTTGAACTTTACATTATTGTGTGAAACATAAACTAGTTGATCGAATTATTTTCTGAAACGCTGGATTTGTAATCAACCTTATGCAATATTTCTAGTTTTGTGACCTAATGTAGTTCCATTGATTCGTTTTGTGTCTTGGATATGTTTTGTTTTTAAGCAACCTATATTGACTACAAAGAGCAGATGTTTGATGTTTCTATGTTGAGTGGACTGTAAGGAGCAGATTTTTGTTTTTTGGTTGAATGAGCTGGTGTTGTATGTACTGGGCACAAGAGCCGCCACTTGGAATGGCGGCTTTTGTACTGCACAGAAGAATCGTCACTTCAAGTGGTGGCATTCCTTAACCGCGATTAACTGTAGCAGTATTTTGAGAATTAGTTTTAATCCAACAGTATTTTAGAAGTTATTTATTTAATTAGCATTATTTCGGGGAAAACTCCATAATTGTAGTAAGAATACAAATTTTCTATAATCCGGAAAATTGATTCTTTTCTTGTATATATACAAGAAGAAACATACACCTAGTAAAGGATATCCTACGAAGAATAGCTCAGATTTTAATATAAATCTACATTACTCGCAATTTTTCGGAAATCATTTAGATGTCCTGATTTTCTGGAAGTCATAATTTTTTTACTCATAATAAGTTAAGAGTACCTTAATATATCAATTCAAAGGTATTTCATTACTCTACTCTCAAACTTTCAGGGGAGTAAGCTGATCACCCTGACCCTCTTGGCTTCACGTACCCTCAGTTATAACTTACTCCCTCCGTCCCACTAACAATGAGACAAGAGGGAGTGACACGCAAATTAATAAAAAGTTGTTTATATGGTTGATATTAAGTTGATAAATTAAGAATAAAGTAATAATGATTTAGAGTCACACAAACTTTACCAAATTTGGTATGAGGCAATCTTAATGGAACGGATCGAAAAAGTAAAATGAGACAATATTAGCGGGAGTATAACTTTATTGCATCCTTAACTTGGTGATTGGTGAACGAGAAAGCAATGTCCAAATGTATTTATATGTGTAAATATATAAAAATAAATTGCTTTAAATAAGAGTAATAAATGCTTTGTCTATTAAAATGAGTAATTATTGTTATGCTCCGGAGAAAATAGCAATTATAGTTTCAATATTGTGCAGGTTAAAGTTTAAACATTAAATTATACTCTGTAATTTCTCACATAGGTTACTTCTATTTCGATTTAAGTAAAAAAGATAGCGCACTCTTAAGTTAAGATGTCGTTTTGTATTTACTCTGTTGGGGAAAAATTCATGCACGAGTGACCGATTCACCACCACGCAATCGTGATTACCTCAAGTAGTATTGTTGTTGGGTCAAATGCATTGTTCAAGCACCAACTTCTATTGAAACTTTTTTTGTAATAAAAGGTCATATATTAAAATAATGAGCAAATAGGAAATAATAACAATCAAATAAAAGTTCCATGATGGCCGAGCAGATTTAAGCCAATAATGACAAGTTAGTTGGTGCAAGTTGGATAAACATAAGCTTACTTTTTAACTAGTGTAAAGCCCGGGGCATGCCCCGGCAACACGACTATTTGATATAGGTTAAAATAAAAAACACTACTACGTACTATGTAACACATGACACGAATTACTTATGAAATTCAAATATGAATATAATATTTTGGGTAGATCCAAATTAAACTTCACACTTCTTCTCCCTTCCTTATATGGCAAATTATCTACATCAAAAGAGTGCAAAACAGTGTCAAACAGTACCAAACAGTGTCACAACAGTGTACTCTACAGTAAGGTCAAATTTATTTCTTTAATTTGTGTGAAGTAACAGTGTGAAGTTTATTTAAGATCGGAGGGAGTAATATTTTAGGAAAACCTCATAAAAATGTCAAACATACACGTGCAATTCAAGTACCAAAACAGCCTGTGGGTCAGGATTAAAAAAGACCCATTGAAATATAAGTAACTTGGTTCATTATTAGCACAAATATGATATCACCAAACGGTCCAAACCAACACTAGAAGTCGACTTATTTGAAAGAGAAACCATATATTTCCAAACCTCATCCAAAACAAAAGCTATATGTTTCCATGCAAGGGATGTGACGTTTACAATATTGGTGAGAGCTTCACGCTGTTCTACCTTTAATGCATTTGGTTAAGATTAGGTGTGCTAGTGAAGATTCACCTATATAAATGTGTCAATTTCTACTCCATCTTAAAAGTGCAATCCCTCTATTTTCCTCTGCAAATTACAAACTTAACCAAAAAAAGAATGGCCTTGGCAATAAACTCAATCTCTACTTGCACAATATTTGCCATTTCCATGATCTTCATCTCAAGCATGTTCCCAGTT